GATGCCTCCGAAGCAGCAATCAAAAGCCGATTTAGCGAAGAAGCAGAAGATCGTCGAAGACAAGACATTCGGTCTCAAGAATAAGAACAAGTCCAAAAATGTCCAGAAATATGTTCAGACCCTCAAGCAATCCGTTCAACCCAAGCCTGACCCCTCCAAAATCTCTCAAAAGGTCCCTCACCATGTTTATTTATGTAGCATTGATCGATTCATCGCATATATTTATGTGAAGGTATATGTATTTGTATTGCTTCGATCAAATAATTTATTAATTTCATAGCAATTCAAATGAACAGAAGAAGCAAGAGGAAGAGAAAGCTAAAGAGAAGGAGCTGAATGATTTGTTCAAGGTTGCCGTCAGTCAGCCCAAAGTCCCAGTTGGTAATTTTGATTATTTTTTTACTGTTTTCACTCTGGTATCATTAATGCTTGATTTTCATACGATCGCACTAACAAAACAATATTATGCGTTATCAGGAGTTGATTTTTATATAGATGTAGATATAAGGACCTGCGGTTTAATGTTTGTTTTAGCAAATTTGGTGTTTCTGTGTTTTTAGGTGTTGATCCGAAATCAATATTATGCGAATTCTATAAAGTGGGGCAGTGTGCTAAGGGTTTTAAGTGCAAGTTCTCACATGATTTGAATGTTCAAAGGAAAGGAGAGAAGATTGATATCTATAGCGATAAACGCGATACAGGTGATTGTATAAAATAATAGTTCTTGAGTAATCGTTTGTGTTTTTGTGGTAATTTTGGTATTTCTGATCAGTTGTGCTGGATGGTGATTGTAATTTGTGTTTGAATGTTTCATTTCTTGGTTTTTGTATAAACAGAAAATGAAACGATGGAGGATTGGGATCAAGAGACTTTGGAGAAAATTGTGGAGTCAAAGAGCAACGAGTATCAAAAAAATAAACCAACTGATATTGTGAGTCATTTTATCGGTTTCATTATCTTATTTAGCTCTCAATAGTTGTTTTTGTTACTGTTAATTGAAAAAGAAATCAAATTGGCTTTTTTGATAACAAATACACAACTTGTGTATTAGCCGTTCTATTGGACATGAATTTCATCTTGCCTTGTTTGGTTGCATTGGGAAACTTGAAGAAATATATAAGCATGGGTGAGGCACAGCCACACGCACAGATTACCTTTGGAAATTTTTTATGCATATGAGTGAGAGAGATATAGAGAAATGTCAAGGAAATATAAAATCTTTTATTTATTTAATTTTTTTTTTTTTGTCATTTGATCATGAAATGGCATAAGCATTTGTATTTTTTTCTTATTTGCGGAAGGTGTAGCACTGATATCACGAATATCTGTTCCCCTTTTGGTGGAGAGCTGACCTATAATTAAATTATACTTACCATGGGCGTAAGCAAAAACGCAAAACATCATTGTGAAAATTGAATATGCTTTACTGCTGCAATAGGAGCCGAACTACTGGAAATAGGCTTGTGCTCCCTCTGCTAGGCCTCCTTCTAGGTTGGCTTGTGAGATTATAAGCTGGATAAAATTTAGAAAGTTATCAATTTATTGAGTTCGGCTTAAACCAGATTGATAAACTGTTGAGCATCATAAGACTATATTCATGTGGAACCCAATAAAATTTCAAACTATTTGCGTCNAATGAATAAACTACCATAGACCAGTGAGTACCCACCGGAGGTACTCTAATACTTAAGTCAGTAATGACACAAGCGAGTGTATTCAATTTGCTAGAGAAAGAGTACATATCTTAGACTAAAGCTTTAAAGGTATTTATAGGGAGCTCGTCCCCGATTATTCAGGATTGTCGTCCTTATTGGAATATGGTGGCACACCTCAATTTCAATCATTCTTTCCTTAATTTGTGTTTGACCCTTATAAGATTTCCTTTCTCATTAGTTGATTTAGGTCGCATGTTAATTATGTGTTCCTATGATTTAGACAATTTCTTCATTGGTCGCCTAGCACCGTCTCTAACTTTTCAAGATAGCCTAGTTATCTGCTTGGTCGGATATTATCCTCTGCTCAACTGAGACAACCTAGCTGTCTGCTCAGTCGAATTTTATCCTCTACTAGGTCGGACCAATTTTAACTCGACCGAAATAGCCTAACTATCTGCTTGGTCGGACCAACTTTAGCTTGGCCCGAATAGCCTAACTACTTGCTCGGTTGTAGTAGAATCATTCCAAATAACTTTTTTCAGCACGTACAGCTTACCACATGCCCAAGTTTAATTGTCAGACGATGATCAAAATTTATTGACACCTTCAAGATCAATTGTCATTGTTGTTATAATTTTATAAGTAGAGAATTCAACTTGTTACTTGTAATATTAAATAAATTGACATGAGCTAGTTCGGCTTGAGCTCTCACGTGCCTATTTTTTTAAAATAGGCTAAATTATTTCTCAAAAAAATTAAAATATTATTATTCTTAAAAAAAATAGTCATATGTCAAAAATTAGAGAGAAAAAATAATCACTGTTATTTAATGTCACTATGTAATAAACGAGAATAAAATGGTAAAGTGATTATTTATGAGACATTGATTATGTTACATGGAGATGGAAACTACTAAATTGTGTGGAAATTATTTATTTTACTTTTATTAAATAGTGATACTATACAATACAACTACAAGTTATATAGTGTGATTTTTACATTAAATACTTTACCTTTAAGACACACGAATAAGACAAAACATTGGGTATAACAGTTCATAAATAAGTAGGGCCCACATAAGTAATTATTATATGACATAAATAAATAATTATTTAATTATGTAATATTCATTTATTATTTTTTTGTAATCGTTACACCCAGTAGGTGGAAGATTACGTAAACGAATGAATCACGTTTGTATTTTGTATGCAAAACCAAGGGCCAATTAGTAATCTTCACTATCCAGTATCCAAAAGCTTCTTAAACAGACGTCCATCTCTGACGATCCCTACGTCGGAACGGTTGGTCACAATTCACAATCTAACTC